CTTGGAGGTCTGTCTCTGTGGGGGTGTTAGCGATACAACGGGCCACTGGTGGCTCTGAGGCGTGTGTGTATCCGTGTGCCACCCTCACGTGCCGTGGGCCAGTCTCTGATGGTGCTATTCATTAAAACAGTATTTTTAAAATCTTAGTCTTAGTCTTCATCAGAATAGGTTCAGTATTTAAACACCATTTTCCACTGACTTTGGGATAACTGAGATTAGCTGTTAAATGTTGAAACTGGTAGTTCATTGAAAACCCTTGAAAAACACACGTAGTAAACTGTGGCTTGTTATCAGACATTGCCAAGTTCAGCATATGAAACGGAGCAGAAATAGCTATGAGTAATTGCTCATCTCATACCAAAGGTTTGAAGATTGTCTGAGTATGAGGCTTTTCTCAGTTGGTATTGACAAATGAATGCTGCTTTTTTCCAGGAACTAACTTTTTGTTCAGCCAGCATGAACTCTAGTGTTTGAGCTGACGTTTATTTTGGCACGTATTATCAGCCTCAGTGCTTTTTCAGTGTCATCCACAGTGTCTTGCTAAGCAATATTTTAGGACTTTGTGTCTCTCCATATATCTTTGCAATTTTTGGTTCTACAGCATTTGGGAACCCCCTTCAAAGTCCCATCACACACAGTCCCCCCCTAGCATGGGGCACCCTTTCTTAATTGCTGGCCAGGGGCTGATATCCTGGAGCTCGGCCACCTCCTGCTCACAGCTGCAATCACTTCTGTGGGAGATGCCCAGGTGGGATTTAATCAGCTTGATGGGGACTTACTGTGGGTGACAAGAAACTGTAGCTCTGGACTCTGCTGCCTTGCACGGTTTAATGCACTCCAGCATTTGCCTGCAGCCTTTAAATGCCTCCCGGGTTTCTTGTCAATTCATACATTTGTAACTGAAAAAATAACCACTGTACTCACTGAAGAGGAAAGCACTGACTGCCAGCTCCTTTTCACAGTGGCAGTACAGGGTTTATGGTCACTTCTAGCTAAGAGTGATTTCCCATAATGAAGCATTAAACTTTTCACACACATGGACCAAGGCCAAGCCTCTCCTTCTGGTTGAGTGTAGTGAAGTTAAGGTTTTGTTAGCGTCTGTGATGCATAAACCAGGGGTCTTTAGTTTGGACCATGCAGTTGGAAGAGCGTTCTGTCGACAGCCTCCTTGGAGACATCATTTAGTTTTGTGCTTTAATATGTCCCAGGACTTCAGGTTGCTCTAATTAGCCCCTTCGGTTTCTCAAACTCCTTTATATTGACCATGAAAACAGGCAGGTTTGGGTAATTAGGTTAAACTCAAATTTTCCCCATAGCCACTACTCCAAGAGTAATGAGTGGATTTTATGCCCCGTCTTTTTCCTGCTAGGGTGAGTGTGTTGCTTATGGGCATAACATACCTGTGACCTGCAGCTAAGTTAATTTTCTTTTCAGAACTGTTATCTCAGTTTAGCAGCGTTTGCATCTTTGTTGGTTTAACTTTAAGTCCTGGCTTTCTACTGCTGAAAGCTTGCGGTCATACACACGCTTCTAATACTGTCCCACTGGAGATGTTAGAGTATGTTTGTGCTCTGGCAGTCGACGGAGCCCAAACAGCACTTCCACGTTCTAGAGGGTTCAGTCAATGTGCACAAATCAATCCTGTCATCTTTAAAGAGCAGCCTACAAATGCCCAGTTCTTGGCATCGAGCCACCACGCTGTGTGGATTCTTCCCTTCTTCAAGGCAACGTTCTCCTGTAATAAGGCATACACGGGAGGAAAGAGCGGCGTATTTCCTAACACCAATGAGCAGGCCTCTTTTTTTTTTTTTTTTTTTGGTATGTTTGGTGAAGCCAAGAGCAGTGACCCCTCTTTCCATCGTTCTCTCAAGGCAAAGGAAACATCTTCAAAGCTGTCCCCTGCTAAACGCACTCTCTCGACACAAATACGGGCGGGTTTTCTTGTTGGCTCACCCATGGGTTAGGAGAGCCGGGGCTGGTCTAGGTCCTTTTTGTCTCTTTGGAGGAGAGTGATCCGGATGATAGCTGTAGTCCTGTTCAGCTCAACATCGGTTTGACTTGGTTCATGCACTCCCTCTCTGTGGGGAAGCTCCCCACCTGGGCTGGCTCTCTGACTTAGTGCCTGTGGCTTTTTTTCTCCTTTCACTGTTGCTCCTCCTGGCCCCGTATGGGCTTACGCACCTGCCTATGAGTAAAGATTAGTGAACACCCCATTGGTTTCCAGATAACCCAAGCTTCACCTGCTATAATAATCTTGCTGATTATACCGTGTTCCTCTGAGGAAGGAGTGCTGTTGTCATCCCTTGCTCTCTGGTTCCTACAATCTGCTTTGGTTCTTGCGCTCACCTCCAAATATCATGCACTGCTTTGGCTCGTGCGTGTTACCCCACAGTACGTGTAGTGACTACTGGTTTTTGTGAACTCTAACTTTAATCTTCCCGTGCCTTTACATCTCAGATCTTTTCTCCTGTGCTACAGTGGAGTCTCAATGAGCTCTGCAGCCCCAGCTTGACACTGGTGACTTCCTTTTCTCAGCAAATTCAAACAGCTTTGTGAAAGGGTAACAAAGGGATTTCCACTTGCCAGCTTCTGAAGTTTTTTATCCCAGCCTAACAGCCATTTGGTCCCTCTTTGGCAGGTTCCAGTACCTCAGTTTTGAATTTTCTGCATTTTCAGTGACAGTCTGATCCGTTGATACTTCTGGCCTAGGGACCCATCCTTTTGTGTCCCTCTGGTGAAATTCTTCAAGTGCTGTGCTTTTATGTGAAATACTGAATTTATTACATTTCTCTCCCATGCTTTCGCATCTTGATTAGATGAAAAGTGTTAAAAACAACAAGTATTTCAAGATGGTCTGTCGTCGGACAGAAAGGCTGCGTTCTGATATCAGTCCTCCCTGCTGCTGGCTCTCTCTGACAGTAGATCCAGAAGGCTGTGCTATGTAAAGCGTCTCCCGTGAGCCACATTTTCTAAAAAGCTACAACTCCTGTTTTCCAGCATTTTATTCCCACGCACCTTCGCCGCACGGTGACTCGCCAGGGGTAGCACGAGACTCCAGAGCATCTCCCCGCGCACAGCCTCAGCCTTCTCCCCGGGGTGGTTCCTCCCGTGGACCATCGGGCAGGGCCCTCTGGGAGGTTTTCTGCCTTTAGCTGGGGAACCAGTGCAGCGGCAGCGACTGGTGGGACTGGTTGGTTGGTCCCCTCCCCTTCCGAGCTCAACTCTCCAGCTGGGTGAGGAGGGTGCAGCTCTCCCCTGCGTTTACATCAAGATCATCATCTAAGGATCTCCATCTTTTTTTTTTTTTTTTTTTTTTTTTTTTCCCCCCTCCCATGCTTTTTTAATTGGATAGCCGCTTGTTCCTGTTCAAAGTGGCTATAAAATGATACCGCTATTTGAAGTTAATAAAGAAACCTGATTAGGTTATGCCTAACATGCTGTTATCATTATGAGCAGTCATCCAAAGACAGAAAACAAGGGTTCGAGGTCAATATTTTGCAAAAGCAGAATCATGTTTCTCAAGGGCTTAACTTCCAGTTAAAACCAGCATGGGAAGTTCAGAGTCAGGTAACATTACGTAGCTTATAGCTTTTGCACTGAGCAGTTGATCTCAAAGGACACTTCTGGATCGCATGTAACCACGGCGGGATTTTTTATCGACAAGATGACATGATCACAGGTGGCATAAAGAGTCGGTGTTAGACAGAGCAGTGAGAACCGCAGTGCCCCCGAGCTGGGACTGGGAGTCAAACCGCGCTTTTGGAGAAAACCTGTGTGTTGAGTGGGTGACACTGAGTCACAGCTGTGAACGGACACATCCCACCTTTCCCAGTGGGTAACTGGGGAAGTGTTTGCAGTCTCCTGTCTGGTCAGACCCGCAGCTCCGTGCCTTTTCCTTCTCCATGTGTTTTTTGCTGCGAAGCCTGTGGCTGTGCTGGCAGAGGTGGCCCGTGGGCTCTGCCAGCGGCTGCCCTCGCGCTGGCCTGAGGATTTGAGCAAGTCACTGCGTCATGTCGTCCCTTGCAGCGACGGTTCCTGTCCCCTGCGTGTCGTGCCTCTCGGAGAAGGGCTGCAAAATCTGCAGGTCCCTGGCTCAGCGTGTAAAAATGGGGGTATGACCAGCAGACTCGTAGGACATACGCTTGATACAAAGTGGGGTTCGTAGGACCCGGAGCCCCTAGAAGCCAGAGCATCCCTGCACGGGCAGGTTTGGGGGGGACCTTGAGCTCTAGGGCTGGGGGTCCTGGGTGGACGGGGAGAGGGGCTGCGGCCGGGAGCCCGCACGGCGCGGGGCAGGAGCCGCCACGTCGGCTCAGCAACTACTCACCAATGCTCTTCTTTGAAACCGCGGCGTTTCTGGTGACAAATTTCTAAGATGGCCAAACGCGGGGCGTGCACAGGGGTGTCGTGAATCGATCTGCGCATCTTCTGGCTCCTCCAGGATCCATCGCAAAGGGCCTTTTACCGGTGCCTGAATGAGCCGGTTGCTACGTGGGAGCCGCGCGCTTCGCTCCCCCGTCCCTACAGCCACCAGTGTTCGGCCACGCAAGGTCACGGCAAGGATCCCGCAGATGTCAGGCCCCGGTATGGCTGTTTCCTAGGATGGGGTGGGTTGTTTTTTGTTTTTTTTTTATCCAACAAACTCTTTAAATAAGCGACGCACCGTTTTGACCGATCCGTCTGCTTCGATAAGCTAAACGACAGTACGGAGCGCGTGAGAAAGCACAAAGAAGATAAACAGCCTGACTGTGCGCTGCCTTGCGCCTTTTAAATTTGGGAGTAAATGATTGCTACGTAAGATTTCAAGCGCTGGAGACTGACTTTCTCTAGTGCTGTCAGATGGTGTGTGTGCAGACACAGCAATGCCCCTCTGAACGCTGCAGGAGTTGACCCAGATTGAGATGCCCACGCGCTGCGTGACTGCACGTACGCTGGTAATGGACAGTTAGCTTTCTGTCTTTTATGTCCTTCATTTTAATATTCTGTATATTTATTTCTAGATACTGTTAGAAGTTGTGTAGCAAAGCTGTTCTTCAGCTGTCCCCTGAAGGGCCATTACTGCTTGTACAGTAAATCCAGTTTTACCCTCGTCAGCCAGCAGCCCCCGCTGTGGATCCACATCATGTTCCTCTTTCAGCAGGTGTGTGCGATATAAATTAGTGGCACCTCTCTATTGTTCATGTTGTACTTGGGAAAAATGTTTTAATGGTTAATCTCCTTAAATATGCTTCTAATCCGCAGTGCTTTGTGACCCTTGTGATTTCTCAGAAAGCCATTATAGTAGGTTGAAGCGATTTTGCAGTTTATAAGTTTCTATATTTCTATTAACTATGACAAATTCAAACTGTCTGGAGAGATTACGAAGTCTGGGGATAAAAAAGCGGGACCAAACCTTATTTGTCCTCAGTCAGGCAGAACTTCCAGTAAGTCCCAGGTGCTTTGCAAACAAACAGGAATGTTGCTGTAGGTTTGCAGGGGAGCAGAGTCAACCCCGAGGCTGCAGGTGGAGGTTGGAGGTGCAGCACCCACTGGGATTTTAAGTTTTGACCGAGCAGGATTTGCAAAGCTGCTCAGTACTGCTCTCCTACCAACCCTGAAGCTATTTTCTCACGTTTAATACCGTTTCCAGATACAGCCCGGTATTTGGACATACGTGGAGTATCCTAATAGGTTACAAATAGTATGAAATTGTAAGAGAAAACCCTATATTCACACTTCAAGATGAAACAGGTGGGTTTTGTGTTAAAATAGTAAGGTTCAGTTTCTTAACCTATGCAGAGCTCTTCACCACAGTTCATTCCACCCTAATGCAACCTTAGAAATACAAAGGATTTCTTTGAAATTTAAAGCATGCACAGTGACTTATGCTGTGAATTTAACAGCTCAAATCACTTTTCCCTGTGTTTGCTCCTAAAAAATAAGTACGAAAAAAAATGGTTTTCAAAAAGGCAGGTCAGTAGGAGGTGATCAGGGAGAGAGAGGACAGTGACAGAGCAAAGCAAAGGAAGCAAAAAGAGCAGAGGCAGAAATAGGAATGAGAAGACAAGATGAAAGGGGAAAATAAAGGAGGTGAATTGCTCTGTAAATGAAAACCTGAAGAGAGGGGTTGAACTTTAGCAGGACCTAGAGAGAATAAATGATTTATGCTCCAAATGTATCGTTTTATTCCTGATGAGAGGAAAACAGATGTTGAAAAATACGGACAGAAGTACTAAAGCGCAGGAAAACGAGGAAGGAGGAGCCGAGGCGGAGGAGCTGGGAACCCCGCTGGCCCCTGCCGCGGGATTTCAGCACGATGGCCCCCGCTCTGCCTGCGGCTCGTGGCTGCAATCAACTGCCCTGATAATTTAATCACCCAGCCACCTTTACTCCCTGGTGCCTCGCCTTTTCCTCAGACATTTTTCATTGAAAAAAAACCCCCTCCCTTTAACCCCTCCCTGGGTTACTCTGAGCCTGGCCCTGCCAGTTCCGTCTTTTACCAGGACTATTGAGCTTCGCGTCATTCCCAGCTCACAGGGACAATATTATTTCCCTTCCCCGTTCCTCTGCACTCGGGTGCCTGTTGCCCCCCATCCCCACGGGCTTCCTTCGGACGCTGCCCCAAACCCTGGCCCCCCCGTTTCCCATGGCTTTCCCAGACAGGATAATTCCATTTGTCCCACTGCAGCTACTCTGCCCAAAGCTTTGCTTTTATTCCCTACAATCTTGCTAGTTTGCTCCGGCTGTGCTAGCGCTACCTTTGGCCCTGGGTTCACCCCCCCCCCCCAGCAGAATCCCCCCACGCTGCCGGGGCCAGGCACTAAGCAACGCAGTTTAGTTTGTGTCTTTACAAACGTGCTGTAAACACAGCACCTAACGTGCTTTTTTTTTTATGGAAAAAACAAAAAAAAAAAGAAAAGAAAAAAAAAGTTTCCTCTTGCGTTGCACCGAGCGTTCGAGCCTGCTGCGCATCAGGGTGGTGTTTAATGTCAGACACCTTATATTTTAATTTTGTTCTAAATCCTAAAACTTTTAAGTATTGGATATATAACTACTATTAAATTAAATACAGGGCACTAAATTGAGCCCTGGGACAACGTTATTTAAGCCTCTGAAATTGTACAAGGGAGAAATTGGACATAAAATGTACTAATAGTGTGTTAATAATAAATGAGAAGCTGGCGATAAAAATGTAGGTTTCAGCAGGTCTGTCACAGATTCACAGACAACTAATACACAGTTTCTGAAGATTTCAATACTAGTTACCATGTTTTTATTCCTTTTTTTTTTTTTTTCTTTTTTTCCAATTACTCCATACTCTGTTTGACATTGCATTCTGCAAAGTAAAAACAAGAGAGACTTTTTCTCCCAGGTCTCCAGAACAGATCCTTAAATTCATGACCCTGTTTTCTGTTTAATTTTAAAAATATTAGTGCATAGTTATATCGTGTTTCGAAACCCTTGGATGGAAGTTGTGAAATGGCAAATTATTAGTGCAGGGCAGTAGGAAGAGAAACGTGTGTCAGCAGAGATCTGAGAAATTGTCTTACAGTTGAGCAGTGATTAACAAAAGGAAAAGAAATGGAATAAGGAGTGATGTTGAAGGGGTTATTCAGTAGACAGGATGCTTAGTTTCACAGATTCATTCATTACAATCGTCCCCTAGTGTTATATGATTTATGGTTTAATTTCCCCCATCAGATGGGACAGTGTCACGCTGCTGCGGTAGCGGCAGCGAGCGAGGGGCTGCCTGACATGTCCCTTTTTAATGCCACCCCTAAAATTGCTCAGGAATTTGTCAGACAGGATCTATTTGGGCTGCCGTCTTCTCGTGCCAGGTGGCTGCCTGGAGCTGACTGCTTCTCCCTTTTAATTTGGACAAAATGATCCCACTGTTTCTGACAGCTTAGCTGGAAAAATGCGTTGCCTCAGCCGTGATAAAATTCCTGGTTGAGTCGTAAGGGAGCGTGTCTGTGTCTGTGGGATGCCAGAGAGCGGGATTAGGATTGCTGGGTTTCTGCTTAGAAGAAGGAACATCCATCCAGGAAACCTACATTAAAAGGACATTGTTCATATTGCAAAATCAAATACTTGAAATATGGAAAATCAGACTTGCTTGTGCATTCAACTTGGCTCCTGTGTGCAAATGCATTTTTTAATTACAAGATCATGTAGCAGATATAGTAGAGGCAGAAACGTTAAGCCCTCTCAGCTGCAGTAGTGTTCTTGTAACATTGACTTTGTGTGCGGTTTATACAATGAAGAACTTAATGTTCTTGAAATATTAGAATCATTTAAGGCAGGGTAAGGTTGGGTCCTTGCTGTCCATTGAAAATGGGGAGCTTTGGAGGAGAGAGCACCCACCCCAACACAGGTTTCATCTTGTTTTGCGAATGTTCAGGGCATGAAAATTCCTGTCCTCTGCCAGCAAAATCTGTGTTGAAAATGTTCTGTGGAGTTTTTTTCTCTTGCGTTTCATCCCGCTGCCTGCTCAGTGCAGTCCCAGACATTGCACCCTTACTCCCCCTGGCACGAGGACCGAGAGCTGTAGTCAGCTCTGAGTTAAACCCGTACAAACCTGCAGCGGTGCTAAGCATCTCTTCGCATTACCTGGGAAATGACCTGTCTTTGCCAAAAAAAGATGCACGTCACCGAGATCTGCGCCTGGTTCACAGAGGCCAGTGCTGCTAACGTTTTGAGAAACTAGCATTTCAACACAAAAATGGCATGCAAGTTGCTGTGCATAGTGGTAGCTGATAGATAATCTTTGGTGAGCCACAGACCTTAAAGACATGTAATGTACAATTTAAAAATCCCCAAAGGGAAATTAAATATTTGAGGATTTATCTAATTGTGTGCACATTCCATGGTAACTCCTTTCAGAGAAGTGACCTAATCCCTGGTTATTCACATGGCTGTCCCACTGTAAGAACAAGATGCTCTTTGTTAATGACAAAGTCAAAAATGCTTGAAATCCTGTTTTCAACGTTTTCTTCAGAGCTTGTTTGCAGAACCTTTGTCCATACAGAGTAATTCTGTTCAAGTCCTTAAGGCCTTGTGGGAGAAGACACAGCTCAAGGGGACGCACAGTTTTGAAACTGCCATGATCCAGTCGACATTTCCACACCAAAAGGTAAGCAGTTTTTTTCTTAGAAAAAAAAAAAAAAAAACCAACAGAATAGTTGAAGAACTTTACCCTGACTTTTAAAGCAGCTGTACGAAGACCTTTAGAATAGCTACTGCGAGTCTTTGCTGTGCATAAATTGTGAAAAAGAAAACCCATTTCCCTGCTCCTTCCCCTTCTTTGCCTTAGCTCCAGCATCTTCTGAGCATTTGCACTTAGGACATGCCAAGTTCTCCTCTCCCGGACAGCCACAGGGCGATCCACGGTGCGTGTCTCTGACCTCCCTTCTACACGAAGCACCCAGCTGGGGGGGGGGGGGGGTTGAAAAACATTCACCAGCCGTGACGTTCTGCGACCCCGCAGAGGGGCCACAGGGTTGTTTTGTACTGTGCTTCGAGAGGCCTCCAGGCTTGTCCTCCATCCTCTCCTTCGTGCTTCACGTGGGTTGTTCTCAACGTGATGAAAACTAGTGACGCTACGTGTGGATTTTTTTTCCTGCTCTGGGTTTCAAGCTCTAGATTCCGTTTAGCTGCCGCTGTGAACTGTTTGGCAGGCACTTGGAAATTCACCGAGTTAAACAGAAACTTGGATTTTATGGAAATGATCATTGCACGCGCACCATCAGTAACCCCCCATCGTTACTCTTTCAAAGCTGTTTACCGTCCCCGGGATTTCAGTGAAGGCCATTTCAAAGCTATTAATCAGGCTTCTTGGAAGAGGACGATCTGTTTCTTCCTGAATGTCTCAATCCAGATCGGTCGGGTGAAATGAATTGTCAAACGTGGTTTTAAAATACTCTCTGTCAGAATACTGTACGCGTGAAGATGTCTGACTGAATAAGATTAATTTAGTAAGGTTATGGCTAATTTAAAAACAGGAGTTTTGTTAGAAACACCATCTGCACCCCCAAGATAATGTTACATTGAAGTGGGAACTCCTGCTGCGGGTTGTAAGAGGAGTAGGGGATCCCCACATCTGAGACCCAGGTGATGGGCCAGTTTTACTTAGACACAGTGGAGCTTGCACTAAGTATTTTAGCTGCTGTTGAAATCCTAGCCTGGCTCATCCAAAGGCATTAGAAGTGCTTTTCTGTTCAATACTGCCTTAACTTGAGTCCGTGCCAAGATCTACTATTCAAAAGTCAGAGCTGGTGGAGTGTGAAAGAGTTTGGGGTGAAAAAAAGACATTAGGGAAGAGCCTGCCTTCACGGGTAGGATTAGATGTAGTGTGTCATGCACACAAAGTCTACAAAACGTGTCCAACACCCTAGAAACGTGATTAGTCTCCAGCACATTGGTTGCATAATCCTGCTACTGCTCAGATTCTAGCATTTGGCCTATTTTGGCAACTTTCATCACCCCATGACAGTAAGAGTATCTCCGAGTTCCCAAAATAGTGGAGCTGGAAAAAGAGATGCTGATCTTCACTGATTTCATGAATTAAGCAGTGAATTGGAGTTTGGAAACTCCGGGAGCTGCAGATTGCCTAACAGCTTTCGAAGGCAGGAGACAGTCAGGCACATGTAATGCATCTGAAACGGTAAAAGATTTTATTTTCAGTCTTGCTCTCCGCAGCATGCTGCTGGATTTACGTTCTCAGTTTCGGTTTTGCTTATTAATGCAGAACCTGAGTTTGTTTCTAGTGCAATTTCCGTTCAGTTTACTGAGAAAATTCTCACTGAGTTTTCTGGGAGCAAGAGCTGGGCCTGCGATAAGGAAGGGTTCCTTTAGCTTTTACATTCCCCAAAAATCTAGCGGGAGCATTCTCGGCATGACCCGGTCCTTACTTTGCTTGACAGACTAAGCTTCTGCAGTAATTTTCATTTCAGAAGTTCTTCCCATTCCTAGTAGCACTTTAAATATTGTGAATGATTTGACAAAATTATTGCAGTTCTTAGTATTATTCCTCTGCCAGTAGCGCAGGAACCAAAATTACAGGTGTGTGGTTGTTTCAATAAGCGTAGCACTTTTAATTTAAAATATTTTGAAATCTGTTGGTATAATTGCAGCATCAGCATCCTGTATTATATTTTTTTATTAAGTTTTATGTGTTGTGTGACAGCAATGTCTGAACGCTTTGTCAGAACCAAGGAATTTCTGTGCTGTGAGCATGCAGGGAAGGTCCAGCCCCCCGCAGCCAACAGGAACCACAGCGGAGCCAGCGCTGCCACACCGCTCTGCAATTGCTCCGCGTTTGCCCCGTGACCCTGTGACTAGTCCAGAGTAAATTAATTCAGACTTTTTTTTTTTTTTTTTGTCTCAATCTATATTCTAAAGTATTTTGCAAACCTGGAGGGGAAAAAAAAAAAAAAAATCTATTACATCAGTGATTTATTTCAGGGTAAATTCCATGAAATAGTTTCAGATTTACATCACCGCAGGCGATTTCTGAACTTGGCCCAATACGCGTGTGCAAGGAATTGCAGTGAATACCTGACTTACAGAAAGCATGTCGTGTTTCACTGGGCAGCCTGTTCATGCCACGAAAAATATTGATACAACACGGCTTAAAACGTGCCAGAAGTAAAGCGTTTCCAGATGTACATCCTTACAGATTTCCGTTCGGTTGCTTCATAGTTCTTTATCAAAGTACACGCAGGCCACAGTACAAAAACGAAGCTGGTTTCGAGCTCGGTGCCGAATTCTTTGTGTTGACTCATGCTGTGTCAGAAGAGTGAGATGGTGACTACTTTACGAGCCCCATGTGATGCCTTCAGAGAGTCTTTTGTTGAGCAGCATTGCAAAAGAATAATTAACATTTTTTTAAGCCATTGTTAGTTCTGCTCTTCCCTTGCCTTCGTTTGCTATCTCAGTTTACGCAGCAGAAAGAAGCACCGTGTTTTCGCCATCGAGTCGTGAAGTTTTCAAGATGATGGAGCATGGGGATGAAATAAATCTCTCCTCTCCAATTAAGTTTTTTCCCCGTTCTTTCCCTCCTGAAATAAGTGACTTACTGCAGATTTTTTCAAGCGTACTGGAGTACAGAGTGGAAAAGAAAGATTGCTGCATTGATATTTCAGCGACATTTGTTCTCCTCCAGTCCAGCGTGGGCTCGTTGCAGCCACTAAAAGGTTTTTTTTCACAGGATGGAGAAGCTCTGAGGCTTTTTGTTCAGCACGATCCAGGATAATGTCCTGCACAGGCCCTTCCGAGAGCAGCGCCGTCGCTATTTTGCCCATTTTGTGTCCTCCCAGATGCCACGGCGGGAGAGGAGGATCGGGGCAGGGTGTGCTCGCGGGGACGTCGGGAGCCCGCAGGTGGGGAGGAGACCCCGGCGGGGGGGGTGGCTGGTGTGGTCGGTCCCTCCCGAGGACTCGGTGTTGTGGTTTAGGCCTGGTTGGCAGCCAACCACAATGCAGCAGCTCTCTCTCCCTTCCCCTCCGGCAATGAGAAGGGACAGAGAGCCAGGCTTGGGGTTCAGGATAGGACTGGGATGGGGAAAAATTCCCCTTTTATGATCACGAGCAAAAGGCAGACTCGTTAGGGGAAGAAAAAAAAGAACATACATTTATTACAGACACTAACAACACCTAACAGAGTAGGACAGTGAGAAGCATTGCCACATCTTGAGAACACCTTCCCCCCACCCCTCCCTTCTTCCCGGGCTCAGCTCTGCTCCCGATATCTCTACCTCCTCCCCCAGTGGCGCAGGGGCAGGGAATGGGGGGTGCAGTCAGTGCTGCCACTTCCTTCATCTTCGGTGAGGGGAGTGTCCGAAACTTGTTCCCCCCTGCTCCATCGTGGTCCCCCTCTCACAGGAGACAGTCCTCCACAAACTTTCTCTGACTTGAATTCCTCCCACGGGCCGTAGAGTTCCCCACGCTGATCCGTCATGGGTCACTAACTTCCTCCGACTGGATTCCCTCCCACGGCTGCAGCCCTTCCCGAGCTGCTCCGGCGTGGGACTCCCCCGCATGCTGCAATCCTCCCAGCGCTGAATTACAGCAGCGGGGCTGCCTTTTCCCACGAGACCCCGGCCTTCTTTGGGCACAGAACCTTGATCAGCCGAGCAGGAGCAACAGGCTGTAAATCAATGTCTGCTCCACCGTAGATCTCCATGGGTGGCGGGGGGGGGCCGCCCTGCCGTCTCACCACAGGATACAGGGGGGTCTCTGCTCCTGCACACCTCCCCCCTCCTTTCTTCCTCCGTTCCTCCACTGACCTTGGTGTTCACGCAGCTGCAGCGACTCCTCCTCACCAGTCCCCCTGCCCGTCACCACGTCCCTTCTTAAATATGTTATCGCAGAGGCGCAGCCGATTGGCTCAATTTCCCAAACAGAAGTGGAGCTGACGTGGAGCTGGGGGAGCTTCGAGAAGCTTCTCACAGGGGGCCGCCCCGATAGCCCCCTCCCCTGCCACCAAAAAAACTCCACCACTCACTCAACCCAGGACACTCGGTTCTCCTCGGGACCCCACAACACGCACGGAGCGTCCGAAGGGAGGAAGGACTCTCAGATCCGCCGCCGACCGGAGAAACACGGAGGGAAGCTTCGCAGCGTTCCTCCCGCACAGCGCAGCAGCCGGCGGGATTCCTCGGAGGTATAGAATTCCTCTCGGGAGGAAAATAAGGACTGCAGCAGTGCCCGAGGAGCAGTTACAAAGTGAAGTAATCGAGTTTCACCCGCGATCCCCCCGTAGGAGGTGGATTGGGAGGGCTGGGGCAGGGCAGCCCAGCAGCCGACCGCGCGGAGGGATTGCCCCGCCGGGCGTTGGGAGGGAACCCACCGAGGTGCCAGGGCGTGCCGGGACCCCTCTGCCGCAGCCTGGCCGCTCGTCCCCCGCCACGCGAGGACGGCGAGGGGAGCCGGGGCTGGGGGGGCCGCTGCCCTGCCAACCTGCACCCGAGAGCTCTGGGCGTGCGGTCGGCGTCTCCCCGTGCGTTGTGAAGCCCGTTTCTCTGCCTGTCCCTGCTGGGAAGGGAAGAAAACCTTTGTCGGTTGGAGCTTCTCGGGTGGTGTGAGTCGTGCTCCCCGTTCTGCCTTTGCCATCCTTCCTTCAGGCAGCCTAAAATCCATCGGAGACGGTCTCCGGCATGCGGGGGGTTGGGGCACCCCAGAGCCCCCGTGAAACTAAAACTTGACATTTGGCTCAGCTGAGCTTGTTGCCCGGTGCCGTGGCTGGAGGTTTGAATTGGTCTCGGGTGTCTCAGTTCTTGCGAAAACGGCCATTTCCCGGCCATTTCCTGAGTTGAAAGAGGATGGGGAGGAGAGAGGCCGTGCTGCCGGCCTCCTGCTCCCGCTCCTTCGCTCAATCTCCTCTCAGAAGGCCTGGATGGAACAGCTCCGTCCTCTGCACAGCCTTTCTTCAGTGCGTTGAACTAATGTCCCTGGCAAGGGATGGTATTTTCCCCACTGACTGCGTAAATCCGTGTTTTCTTTGGGCTGCAGCGTGCGGTGTTGCAGATCTGCGAAGACCCCATGCAAATAAACAGGAGTGTTTTCTGAGCCGCCCTGGCAATTCCCTTTGTGTTTGCAGCGAGTAACTTGGTTGCTGTTATTTAACACCAATGTTTGTTTAAGTATGAGATCACAATCTGGTTTAAAATTAAATAACGGAGTTTAAAATACACTGAATTATACCATATTATTTATTAATTGACTCAAAAGGAGTATCCTCTGGCTCTTCCCGCACTTGGAGCTGCAAGTATACTTTCTGTAGGTTTCTGTGATCAATTCAGACATGCAGATTACTTTGCAAATGCCTAATCCTTACTTCCCTGGCTTGTCACTGGCAGAATAACATCACAATTACCTGGGTATGTTTTGTGTGAGCTAAATCAGCCCTGTTGTCGCTGCGTTTTTGGAAATGTTCATATTAATGTTCGCATTAAACATTTGTATGAGTGCTTCTCACAGGGTCTGGGTTCGGAGCCTCTATGCTTTCTTTTAAAAAAATTAAAAATAAAGCAGTACCCAGCCACTAACTCCTGCTCTGATGGGGGGTCCCGTTGGGCGGGAGGAAGCCCCCAGCACTGCAGTGTGTTAGCAGGGGCCGCTGCCTTCTGGATCGCTGAAAAAATCCTGAGAGACGGCTGGAGGTAATAAAAGGGGTTCAGCTGGTGGGAAACGTGCTGGGCAGGACCGCTGAGCGCACTGCTGGCAGCAGTGTTGAAAAGGCAAAAAAAAAACAAAAAAAAAACCAAAACAAAAAAAAAACCCCAGACCAGTCGTCTGCCTCCTACAGACTAATATATAATTTATATATTAGCTGCTACTGATGAGAGAGGGAGATATGTCCTGCTTAGCACGTTTGCCCCAGCAGGCTGTTTGCCTGCAGGAGACACGTGGAGGAGGATGCTCCTTGGTTCCCGCTGTGCATCCCTCTGTGATTTCAGGTTACGAGCTGTTAACCGTGCGGCGCTTCGCCTCCTGAGTGAGTTTGCTTTTTCTCTTTGCTGGCCCAGGACCTGGACCGCGTGCAGACGCACCTGGAGGAAGTGAGGTTCTTTGATTTGTTCGGCTACAGCGAGGAAGCGGGGACTTGGCAGTGTTTCATGTGCAATAACCCTGAAAAGGCAACGGGTAAGCGGTCTGCCCTCGTCGCTGGTGGGCGAGTTGTGGTGGGTGGGGGACGGGGCGAAGCTCACGGGTAACGCCGTGTCTCTGGGGCGGGTGGCAGAGCTTGGGGAAAAGGGAAAGCAAACTCTCCAGCACAGCACAGGCAGCGTCTATTTTAACTGGAATTCTCCATTAAACTCTGGTCTCATCACCTCTGGTGGGATGTAGTCTCAAGAACAAACCTTATTTGGTGTATGCCGAGAGGGATACAATCCGAAATTAATGTAGGCTTGTAAATCTGCATGTCTGCGAACCCCTGGGGAGTGGGAGGGATCTGCACCCATCTTGTAGCGGCCAGATAAGAGAGTTGCATCTGCTGGACCGCGTCCCAGGTCCTCTGGAGGCTGCCCAGGTGCCACACCGCAGGGGACTTTGGCATAAATGCTACACCCAAGTCGTGTCTTCTTCGTTCTCAGAGTTATTTGCTTGAATATAACTGAATCCATAGTACGCGTCTTTGTAGGAACAAGGCAGTGCTTAAGAACAGCCACAATACTTCAGCTATATTAGAAAACAGGCTGAGTGGAAAATACACTTTTTCCCAGGTAAAAGATCCTGGTGACTGGTTTTTTGAAGCGTTCTGATACCCATGTGTTTTAGATCAGTGCACTGAAATTCAGAGAAATGACCTTTTTCTTAGATGTTCTTCACCACTCTGTAAAAGTCCGCACAATTGTGGCCAAGAATTTTGAATATTTTGGCCAAGCCATTGAATAATTGGCTGTTTCAGCTATTTATTTTAACAGCTAGCATCAATTTATATTTCATCGAGCCTGAATTTAGTAAGTCTTGCAAGAGTGGCACAGCCCCTGCTGCAGGCCGGGCTACCCGTGCTCATTTCATGGGTGCTTGACCATCTTCCTCCTTCCACAACTCTCAGGGGACTCAACAACCATACAAGAAATCACGCTTTGAGCTGAAATTTCATCTTAGTACCCTGGCCTTGCTGTGGGTTGCCCATCACATCGGTGATAGACGTATGTCAAGCTACAAGGAAAAGGAGTCTGGCTTAAAATTTCGAAGCTGAATGAAATAGCTTTGTTTTGAATTTCCAAAAACGTTTAACTAGTCCAAAACAGGGAGCGTTTGCAGCAAGCTATTGATTATGCCGGTCGGACAGCTGTGTTAGAGCCAACAGAGCAGATGAAGGTGGCAAAGGCAAACCCTGGGGGTGATGTGGCACCGTTTCCTTGTTGGTGCCGTGGCTTTGGGTGATGACACTCATCTGGAGGCATCACAGGTCAGCCGACATCTCGCTTCCCTCTCGCTCTCCTGCCGAAGCGCCTCATCCCCCAAGGAGAGGTCTAAGAAGGGCTGGGATGCAGCGCAGGGAGGTCCGTGTTGGGGACGCAGCGTCGGGATCCAGACCCCGCCGGTACGACCGGGATAGAGCTGGTATTTTCAAATGGGTCCGAACTCAAGGCAAACGTCAATCAAAGACCGAGAGAGCAGGCAGCGCTTCCCCGGGAGCTCCTCAGTGCTCGGTGGTTGACTGCGAGAGCGGACAAAAGCGGGGACCGTCTCTGTGTCACTGTCAGGAGGCTCCTGAGCCTGTTTGGGGAGCGCTCGAGCAGGCACCTCGAGTGGGGTGAACCAGTAGACGCCGCCTGACGCCGATGGTCGTGGGGAAGCGGGAGCCCAACGCCTGCCGCCGGGTGGGTCGGCGCGCCGCCTCTCGCCTCCTCCCCCCCTTCTTTCAGGCGGGTGGTGAATCACACCGCGGCGGCGAAGGGGGGTGGATGTGGTGCCGCGATGGCCCACGGAGACGAGGGAGAAGGTCACGTCCCTCCCAAGGGCTCGCCGCTTCCCCTGGCTGCTGTGCAAGGGCCGCGATGAAATGCACGCGCGGACCCCGCTTCCCCGGGGGGGGTGGGGTGTCAATGCAGGTCTCCGTTTACACACGGGGGGCAGCGGAAGGGATTAATATGTTCAAAGCTCTGCCCCCCTCCCCGCCCCGGCCTGAGCAGATCCCACCAGCAGTGCGGCAGTTCTGTCCTTCCCAAGAAATGCACCAAACCCCCTCTGCGGGGGGGGGGATGTGCGAGCGCGGGAGCCGGGCGAGGCGGAGGGGGCTGCCCTCGTCAAGCTGCCCCAGAGGGTCCGGGTAGAAATTAGACTTTCGTTCCTATATGCTGGTATTTATACAGGCCCTTGTAAATGATACCGCCTCTTCCAAAAGCGGAAAAACAAATAATTCTTCCTCCGTTTAGAAAGGTTTCCAGCCTGTCCTCTTCCCTGCCCAGCCACCCTGCCGTAGCCCAGGAGAGGGGGGAGAAGACTTTAACAAATGTCAGCATCTACAAAATCACCATTTACCCTTTGGTTTAGAGCCACGGCTGAGAGTTCAGGGATGCCTTTTGAGGGCTGTCAGGAACAGGAGGAACTGGGCACAGAACATTTTTGGACTGCAGCAGTCCTTTTCATGAGCAATTACTCTCTTTTGTCTCAGTTTAAAGAAAATGTTGTAATAAAGGCACATTGCGAATATCACAATTCGCTTCTCAGCTCTAAAAGCCTTTAGAAGACCAAGAAAATAAAGTATTGTATGGGTCATAAAAAAGCTCAGGTGTAGGAAAGGAATGTGGAAGATAGTGCTCAATGGAATAAAAATCTGGAGGTGAATGACAAGTTCACCTTAGTGCTGGTGATGTGGAGCTGCGGTAGCTGGGAGAAGTCGTGCCAGAGTGGGAGACGCTCCAGGGCCCTCTGGGGTTTATAAGATGTGACACAAGAAGGAGGATTCGGAGGTCTCCTTGAATTGGTACAAAATGTAAAGACTGTAAAACATCTTTTATTTTCATTCCGCAGTGGGACAGACCCTTTGAAATCTCAAATACTTTTGAAAGACAAGAAAATAATTTCTTCCTCTCAGCAATGCTGTTTAGCAACCAAATTCTTCTTAAAGAAGGAATTCAGAGGCAAATTCTTTTTCTATTATTGCCTTTTGTTTTTTGTTAACGTTGGGTTTTGTTGCATTTTTTGGATGCCGTGTTGCAAGATGCCGTTTATCCTCCAGACTTAGGAAAGCATTATGCCTTAAAGCCCTGATCTTGCCTTGGGATGCCAGATCAATGATGTTTTTTTCGGATGCAGCTGGGAGGATTGTTGGAGCCAGACTACATTTAGAGGCTGAGTTTGCGAGGAAAGAGGCAGTTACGCTTAAGCAATGTGGTGGATGTACCCAAAGTGGCAATTAACCCAGAGAAAGTTTGAAGATTTCTCATGCATTCTTCTGATTTCTTATACAACCACACTCTTCCAGAAGTGCTGTTAAATCATCCCAAACTGTGTTTTTTTTTCCTCCCACCCAGGAAGATCATTCCCACAAATCCTACTCATCTGCTCAAATACATGTATGTGCCCTGACTGTGCAGCTGGCCTCAGAGCTGGGAAAACCAAGTTGTGGGTTTTTTTTTTTGTTTTGTTTTTGTTTTTTTTTTTTTTTTTTTTTCCTGAATGATGACCATTCAAGCACAGATACAAGGCATTTGAAATGTTGGTAAATGCGGTGTGTGCCTCTTGTTAGGAAAAGCTGGCCTTTAAGAGCCTCATTTCAACATAACCTCCTGTATTAACAGTTGGCTTCACAAGCTCTTGCACAAAAAAAATTCAGTAAACCCACTTGATAGCCGGAGAGGGAATTGCAGTACATTCCCTATTCTGGAAGCTTACAAAGAAATTGCAGTAATCCCTGTGGGCTGCAGAAGAGACATTGTGCCCATGGGCAATGATTCGGGTAAAACTGAGGGGGTTTTTTATGAATTCCTCTTTAAAAAAGCAATTCACTCAGAATAGCCTACACCGTATTAACTTCTGAATACATTTATCTTTTGCTAGCAGTGGTGATTATCTAGTGAACTGAAATATCCCAGCTATAATGCTTGCTTGAAAATTATAAAAAGTGGCATTCAGTAATGTGTCCTTTCCACGTTTTCAACAAAACCAAATGTGATGATTAATGAGAGAGTGAATCCATATTCCCCTAGGTTAATTGCATTTATCTGCGTCTGCTTGCCACCCACACATTCCATTCTTTCAAGTTAATAGGAGTTTATTATCATTGAGACCATTCATGATTGGACTGAATTTTTGTGGATGATTTTATGTTTCATCAAATGCAAGATTTAGTGCTTTGTTTTTTATCTGTCTTGAGTTCATCTTGGAAGAGTTTGGAGGTTTTTTTACTTTTTATTCGGTACCCAAACTACTTACAGCTTGATGCATTGTAGTTTTGCAAAAAATGCAGGAAACAATTAATAGAAAATAATTCCTGTGGACGCTTACATCAGTGGGTAGTATTCAGGGTTAAATTGATTTTTGGAGTTAGTGTCTCTATATTGAGGTGGTTTAAGAAGCAATGGATATTATAGTAAATATATTTTCATTTTGAGTTTGGGTAATATTTTTAGCTTTATTGTGCGTTCTGCAGAAAAAAAAGGTATGACAAATATATAGTAAATATAACCTTTTGAATCCTTTAACTCCCTTTTTCAAGCTAAAGATCTCATCATACCTGTCAGCATACCACCACACAGAGTGATTTCAAACCCAGAGATGATGCCATCGCCTAGTTTGACCTTCTATAAAACTGTAGTCAAAGAATCTAGTCTAGTAATGCTTACATCAAAGAAACGTTTTCCCTTTGATCTGTATTACTTTTGTATATTTTTCTAAAGATGTCTAAACTTGATTTCTAAAAGTCGAGTGAAGGAGAATCCATGACAGGACCAAGTTGTTGCTCAGGTAATTTAACCACACTGTTACCGTGGGTTTATTTCTAGGCTACCTCTAAACACTGCATCCCATTATGCCCTTCCCTGCTATGCAGAAAATCTCTGTAGACTTTATCATATCATAGCTTGATCTTTCCTCAGGCAAATTAAGGAAAATAAGCTTTATTAGTTTCCTGTGATATGAATAATCATATGAAAGATCAGTTTTAAATCATTCTTGTATCGCTTTTC